CACAGGGAATCCAGAGCGGATGATCCCTTCAGGACCAGTGGTGTGAGTGGCGATACTGGGAGGGTAGAGGGAGAGTGGATTGGAAAGAGGGAACCGATTACAAGAATCTACATATAACCTCCTCTGTGGGGGACGGACAACAGAAAAGTGGGTGAAGGGAGACGTCGGACAGGGCAAGAGATGACAACATAATAATGTATAAATTATCAAGGGCCCATGAGTGGGGGGGCGGAAATGAGGACCTGATGCCGGGGGCTTAAGTGGAGAGGAAATGTTCTGAGACTGACGAGGGCAATGATTGTACAAATGCGCTTTATACAATTGATGTATGTATGGATTGTGATAAGAGTTGTACGAGCCCCTAATAAAATGATTTTTTTAAAAAGACTTACAGTCTCAGGAACACGGAAGGGGTCGTTCTACCCTGTCCTATAGGTCGTCGTTGACTGGATGGCAGTGGGTTTGGAGAGGCTGTCGCACATGTATGTACTAGACAAGGGGGCCCCGTGTGGTACAGAGCAGAGAACTGGGCTGCGTGGGGTTTTCTGGGCTGTGACCTTTCTCGGGGAACAGCTGCTCTCAGTCCCTTGTTCCCCCTCCCACCTACACCCCTGCCCCCGCATCTCACCGATGATGTAGGAGAGGATGAGGTTCCAGCCGGTGGTGAAGGCCCACAGTTCGCCCACTGTCACATAGCTGTAGAGATACGCGGATCCAGAGCAGGGGACCCGGGCCCCAAACTCCGCATAGCAGAGTCCGGACAACATAGTGGACAGGGCAGCCACCAGGAAGCAGATGACGATCGATGGTCCAGCTATGTCCCTGGCCACTTGCCCAGTTAGGACATAGACGCCTGCTCCCAGGGTGCTGCCTACACCCAGAGCCACCAGATCCAAGGTGGTCAAGCAACTGGCCAGGCCGCTCTGCGTCTTGCTTGCCTCCAGGGGGCGTCTGCGCACCAGCTTCTGACCAAATTGGCAAAGGTCCTGCCACCCCATCCTGGACACAGGGGAAAGGCTAAATTCCGCGTAAAATCTGGAAAACAAAAGAAGAGTAGCTGATATCAAGATCTCAAACAGAAAGTAAATGTTTACAAGATGATGCTGGCAGCCTATGGACAAACAGGCTTGATCCAATGGATGTATGGAATGTTTTAAGAGCCCCCAATAAAATGATTTTTAAAAGTAAAAATTTTAAAAATCTGCAAGACAGAAAGAAAGCCAACAATACCCCTGCCATTCTTTTAAGTCGACAGCAGTGGTTTGGCTTTTGGTTAACAACCACAAATGAGAGGTTGGCTCTGTGAGAAAAAGACCCGTGGGTCTGCTTCCAGAAAGGCTCCAACCAAGAACCACCCCCACCCCCATAAGGCTGTTCTACTCTGTCCTATAGGCCCCTATGAAGTGGAGTCCACTTGAGGGCGGACGACACAGACCAGACACCAGCTCACTGTGTGGACGAGACAGAACTCGCCCTGTGGCTTCCTGAGACTGTACATTTGGGAAGCAGACGACCTCTCAAGGCTAGTCATCGAGGGCTTCGTTCCTTTACGTACATCTTTTAATGCTTGTATTGTTCGGTGTAACTGTTTTATTCGTGCATAACTCATGTGGCAGACCACTTGAGGGTTTAACTAGATTCCAGAGTCATGTGATCATCACCACAAGCAATTGCAGAATACTCTCTTCATTCTTCTGCCGTGATTAGCTTCCCATTCCACCACCACCACCACCAACTTCCCCTGCCGTAACCCTAAGGAGTGATGGATCTAGCTACTGTCTCTATGGACGGCAATGCCTGTGTGGTTGAGAGACGGCTTCTGAATGCTCACCCAGCCCTTCCCCGCCTCCCCCTTCACTCACAACACACACCTACACACTCAGCTCCCAACCCTTCTGCTGCCTTGTGGGAAACAGACTGGACCGGAGGCTCAGGGCCCTAATGCCAACCTCAAGTCCTTTCACACCCAGCCCAAAGCCAAGCGGACCAACTGGCACACAGGAGGCACGTGGGCAGGTACGGAAAGGAGGCGCTTTGGGGCAGAGGGGCATTGAGTTTATTTGTACTAGTGGTGGTGGAACAATTTGGACGAGGATGGTGATCTGCACACAAAACAGAAACAAAAAAACACCAACTCCCTTCCATGAAGTCCATTCCGACTCATAGCTGGAGTCCGTTCTGACGGGCAGTGACCCTAGCAGACGGGGCACAACTGCCGCTGCGTGTTTCCAAGGCTGTGAGTCGGTATGGACGCTGAAAGCCTCATCTTTCTCCTGAGGCGCGACGGGTGGTTTTGAACTGCTGACCTGATGATAAGCAGCCCGAAGCAAAACCCACTGCACCACCGGAGCTCTACACACAGATTACCAAGATTAAAA